CACGGCGTGCCTTTTAAAAGAGGCAGGATACGATGTGGTGGGGATTACATTGCAACTTTATGATCAAGGCGCAATGGCAGCGCGCTCTGGGGCATGTTGTGCGGGTCAAGATATTTATGATGCAAAGCAGGTTGCAGAAAAAATGAACTTTCCTCATTATGTTTTGGACTATGAAAGCCGATTTCGGGAATCGGTGATTGATGATTTTGCGGACAGCTATGTTCAAGGTCATACCCCTGTACCGTGTATTCGGTGCAATCAAACGGTTAAATTTCAAGATCTTTTAAAGACAGCCCGTGAATTAGGCGGCGTTGCAATGGCAACAGGTCATTATGTGCGTCGTATTCCGGGGGCTAAAAAAGCGGAACTTCATCGTGCCGTAGATGCGACGAAGGACCAAAGCTATTTTTTATTTGCAACAACACAGGAACAGCTAGATTTTCTCCGTTTTCCTTTAGGGGGATGGGATAAATCAGAAACTCGTCGCCAAGCAGAACGATTTGGGCTGAATGTTGCTGAAAAACCTGATAGCCAAGATATTTGCTTTGTTCCTGATGGGGATTACACCAGAATTGTTTCGAAATTGCGTCCTGGTGCTTTAGAATCCGGTCCCATTGAGCATGTGGATGGCTGTATTTTGGGCGAACATGAAGGCATTATTGGACAGCGGCGGGGGTTGAGGGTCTCTACAGAGGAGCCACTTTATGTTGTCGGGCTTGATCCTAAAGGCCACAAAGTGATCGTAGGACCAAAAGAAATGTTAGCGTGCCAGACACTTTTTATTAAAGATTTAAACTGGTTAGGCGACCTAGAGCTTAAGCCTGGGGCAAGGCAAGATATGTCAATACAGATTCGATCGACACGTGCTCCTGTTTCGGGTTATGTATGCTTCGAAGAAGATGGTCAGATTCGTGTTCATTTTAAGGAAAGTGAGTATGGTGTTGCGCCAGGGCAGGCGTGTGTCTTTTATGAAGGAAATCGTATTTTAGGGGGAGGATGGATTGAAAAAACGCAGCCCATTTGGGAAGAAAAAAACGATTAATCTCTTTTTATTAAATTGTTTTTTTGCTTTTAGCGTTTCAATGAATTCTTGGGCTGGAGTGGTCGAAGAGTTGACACTGTTTCTTCCATCACAAAAGTCGCATGTTTTAAAGGTGGAGCGTGTGACAAGTGAAAAAGAACTCGTGCTTGGTTTGATGAATCGCTCTGAATGGGGGAAAATTTCAGGGATGCTCTTTGATTTTGGGCGGAAGGTGAGGTCAGGGTTCTGGATGAAGAATACATTGCTTCCTTTAGATCTTCTTTTTTTGGATGAAAAAGGACAGGTTATTTTCATTCATGAAGGCATGAAGCCAGAAAGCTTAGAGGTTGTTACACCTCTTAAAAAATACCGTGCAGCGTTAGAGTTACCCGAAGGTTTTGTACAAAAATTGTCAATTACCTTGCAAACAGTTGTAAAACACCCCATCTTTAGCCCTTAGAGCTTTTGGTGCACCCTGAAGAGAAGGGGGAAGAATATGGATCCAAAAAGAATTTTAAAAAAGATACACCCTTATCGCGACCCTCGGGTGATGGGCATCTTCTTTCTAGGTTTTTCTAGTGGGTTGCCTTTTTTGCTATTGCTTTCCACTCTTGCAATCTGGCTTCAAAAAGAAGGGATTTCAAAAACAACAATCGGTTTGTTTTCTTGGGCAACACTGCCTTATGCGCTGAAATTTTTGTGGGCACCTTTCTTAGATCGTTGGACGCTGCCTATTTTAGGAGACCTTTTTGGACGTCGTCGAGGGTGGCTGATTGGGTCACAAATTGGTTTGGCAATTTCTATTTGTAGACTTGGATTCTCTGATCCGGGTCATCACCTAACAGCAACAGCTTTATGTGCTGGTGCGGTGGCGTTTTTTGCAGCGACTCAAGACATTGTATATGAAGCCTATCGTGTGGAGCTTTTGAAAGGTCCTTTAGCAGGGTATGGTGTTGGGGCTTCTGTGATGGGGTATCGTTTACTGACTGACTACTTACTTACTTACCTACTGGGGACTGACCAGCTCACTGGTATGTTGACTGACTGGTTGATTGACAGCCTGACTGACCGTTTGAGTGACTGGCTGACTGACTCGCTGTCCGACTTTGCTACTGACTGAATGTTTCGCTGACTGATTTGCTTACCAAGTAGTTGACTGTGGGTGGAATGACGGGCTAACTGACTTTTTGTTTTCAGATACCTTTACAAAATCGTGTTTTTGAGCCCGATTTGAGCTTGTTATAGGGCAACCTTAGCACTGGATTTTGTGTTTTATTACCGATATCATCGTAATGTGATAAGAAAATGTGCGTTTCGGCTTGTTT